GGTAATACATAACGTCAGTGAATAAATCTAAATCAACTCATCATAATATTGAGCATTTTGATTGACTTACATGAAATTAGTAGGTGATAGTATCTTCAGTAAAGCTCTGCATTGTCTAAAGAAGTTGATATTAGACTCAGCAAGATTTTATATAACTCTATAGGAAATCCCCGATTTAAAATTGGGTCATGATCTATAGTTTCCTTTTTAATATATCACATGGAATTTATAACACATTTTCCTTTAGAAATAATGGAATATATGGTGGTACTGAGATCCCTAAACTTTCATATACAATCTTTTGTAACCCTTATACAAATGAGAATCATAGTAATTATTAATAGCAGCATCATTTATGCTAAAAATATAGCAATACTGTTTTCGGGATGATGTGTTTTTTTCTTTTTCCTCCCCTTCATTTTTCTTACCTTTGAGTTCCTGCAGATTCTGCTCAATGAGGAAGAAAGTTGGTAGCAACAGCTGCGTAGCTTTTCATTATTCCTTTCCACATTGCCAAATAACAAGGAGCCACAGGGAATACTGTGTAGTTTGAAGAGCTCTGGAGATGGCCCATCTTTAACCATGGTGTAACTTTATCTGGCCGTTCATTAGATTTTTATATGTGTGTGTGTGTGTGTGTGTGTGTGTATTTCTAGGGCATTCTGTCATTGCTATGATACCTCAGTATGTCCCTTCTCAGTGTTGAGAGTAGTTGAGATTCATCCTGGTGTTACATAATTTTTTTTTTCTCTCCCATCTCCTACTTCTACTTAAATGCTAGTATTATTGCAGGAATCTTATTTTGACACAGACTCTTGGTGATCAAGGTAATAAAATAATGTTGAACTCTCGTCATAAGTCTTTGGTGGTTTTGAAATGCATATTCCTATTCTCTGATGATCAGAGATTCTGATTCAGTAAATCTGGGCTGGAGCTCAGGAGTCTGCTTTTTTAGCAAACACTGAGTTACCTTTGGGTTTTTTTTTTTTTATTTCTTTTTAAGTGTTTTTTTTTTTTATTTCAGAGTATTACAGGGGTACAAAGGTTTAGGTTACATAAATTGCCTTTGTCCCCCCTGAGTCAGAGCTTCAGGTGTGTCCCTCCCCCAGATGGTGTGCACCGCACCCATTAGGTGTGAATTTACCCATCCCTTCCTCCTACCTCCCACCTGTCTGACACCCTATGAATGTTACCTCTCATATGTGTACATTAGAAAACACTGAGTTACCTTTGCTAGAACATTGCTGAGCTGAGGATGCCAGATGGCTGAAACCTGGAAAGTGGTCAACTCATTTGTTTATCCTGGCTGTAATGTCCTAGAGGCAAAGAAAAAGGGAATATTTTCTAAAATTGAACTTGGTTGTTATTTATAGGAGAAGATTTAGTCTTCATTCACTCATTTTATCAGTATTTGCTGAACATTTACCATGTTACAACAGTGAACAAAACAAAGATCCATGCTCTCGTGGAACTTCTACAGATTTACTTAAAGGCATTCACTAGTGACAAAACATTTATATATTTTACCATTAGGTATGAATTGTATTTTAGAGCAGTCCTCATGGGACATGTACTACAAAACTTACATTTAAAATGTGGAATCATGGTTAAGTTTAGAACATCCATATCAGAGCCTCAATTACTGGATATCAGTTCTAATTAAGCATTCTGCAATTTACCATACTGGTTATGGTTTAGTGTGACCAGCATCCTGGATCAACTGCTGACTGGGTTTGTCATTAAACATTTTCAGACCTCTAGCAGTGGAAGGCACTCTGTTCGCATCACTGGCCTCAGTACTATTGATTTCCGAGCTGGCTTTTCCCGAAAGCCCACCCTGGACTTCAAAAAAACAGTCAGCAGACCAGTGCAAGGTTCGTATGTGCATATTACTTAAATTGGCATAATAGATATCCAAGTACGGAACATTTCTCCAACTATTATTTTATAATTTTGTGGTGTTCAATAAAATTGAGAATCATAGCATCTTTACTTTAAATGTGATTGCTTTCTTGGCCTAGTCACTGTTTCTCAAAGTGTAGTCGCAAGACCAGGAATATCAAAGTCACTCAAGGCGCTTATTCAAAATGAAGATTCCTGGCTAGGTGCGGAGACTCACACCTGTAATCCCAGCACTTTGAGAGGCTGAGGCAGGAGGTGATTCTTGAGGCCAAGAGTTCAAGACCAGCTCGGGCAACATAGTGAGACCTTGTCTCTACAAAAACATTAGCTGGTCATGACTGGAGTCCTGTAGTCCTAGCTACTCGGGTGGCTGAGAAGGGAGGATCCCTTGAGCCCAGGAGTTTTAGGCTACAGTGAGCTGTAGATTGCACACTGCACTCCAGCCTGGGGACAGAGCAAAACCCTGCCTGAGGGAAAAAAAATAAATTAGATTTCTGGGCCTTACTCCATACCTCCTGAATTAGAACCGCAAAAGCTAGAGCCCAGGAATGTGTACTTTAGTGAGCACCGCAATTGATTCTTACACTTAATAAATTTTGAGAGCTACTAACCTAGATATTGAGACTTTTTTCTTACTAAAATCTATAAATTGCCTTGTCAAGGTGAAATTTGTGTATATAGCTGAAAAATTACACACCATGTAACATTGTATATTCAAAGATAAAATTATTGTTGATTTTTAAGCTTGTTCTTTCTCTCATTTTATTCATTCATTAAGATTTACAGTTTTATAGTGAAAAAGAAAGCTCAGTCACACTGTAACTCTTAATTTTTTTCTGGTTATTGTTCATTTATTTTTATTGCCATTTCTAGAATGATTCAAAATAGTGAATCTTTAAAATTATTCATGGAATCAAATATCATATAACAAAAAATATTCACAATTCTAAGTTTTTCCGTATAAACACAGTTAAAATACTATAAAAATTATTACCTAAGATTTCCTAAGTTTCTCTGGACATGTGAAAACTTTATGTAGAAACAATTCTACAACTGGTCCACAATTTGTAGGACAGTCTATAATACTCATCCTTATGGTACTCATATGTTGTTACAATGAAATACTTATTTGATATATAACCTCAACTGCATGTTACTTGTAAATGATAACAAAGTCTTTCTCTCATAGGAATACCTACCTATGTGCTGCTGAATACTTCCGGAATTTCCATTCCAGCTAGAGTAGATCGTCTTGAACTTCTGAGTATCTCAGGAAGTTCTCTTAAGACCATTCCTGTTAAATATTACCCAGATCAAAAACCTTATGGCATATGGAATATTTCCGACTTTATACCACCGAATGAAGCTTTCTTTCTCAAAGTAACAGGCTATGATAAAGATGATTACCTCTTCCAGAGAGTATCAAGTGTTTCTTTTTCTAGTATTGTCCCAGGTGAGACATCATTTTATTCACCACTGGAATATTGATCATTTAAGGGGGTGATGTGCTTCCATAGGTACATAATGGACTATAAAATCAAAAATAATATTGTCACATTGTTACTGTGTCACCGAATTAATGGGCATTTACACTTAGGTAACAGTTTTTCTTAATCATTTATTAGCACATCCAGAGTTTCATGTTAAGTCTTACTGATGGTAAATCTGAGAATTTT